TCTATCTATCTATCTATCTATCTATCTATCTATCTATCTATCTATCTATCTATTTTAGTTTATTGAGACAGCGTTTTACTATGTAGCCCTGGCTGTCTTGGAACTGTTTTGTGGACCAGGCTGGCCTCAAGCTTATAGAGAGCCACCTGCGTCTGCCTTCTGAGTGGGAAGTTCATTCCTATTTCTGCAGTAGCAAAGAAACGAGAAAGTTAAGGCAGCTTAATGCCCCAGTGTTGTCAGGGCTTCACTGTGGTTGCGCATGAGCTCCTGAAAGCAGCAGAGTGCACATTTCCTTCTGGCAGGCAAACACTGCTGCGCTGACCCTGCAAAGTGCCACCGTCTGCCTCATTGCTGCTCTGAACAGCCTGCTGGTAAATGTCAAAGCTTGGATTGATTTTCCAGCTTGGATTGGTTTTGAAACACATTGAGATGTCTAGGCCTGCTGAATAAAACGACGAACTGTGTGAGAAAGTGCTCTATGGTCCATTCTTTATCATCCTTAAACATCCTTTCCTTGTTTTCATCCTTAATCCCTATAAGTTAGCATAATTTTGACACCTACTTGTAAGATTTTAACATAGTTTATATTAATGTACAAAGAATACATTTTAAAGTGGTTAAAACATACTTAGATCTAATTTAGGTCTTTTTGACCAAAGGTAAATAGTGTTTTATTTTATATTATTAGCACTTATATTTAGATTTTCTTTTCTTTTGATTTTGAGAACCCAAACAAAATTGTCTTGTAATTTGATTTTTTAAAAATTTATTTTATTTTTATTTTATGTGTATTTGTGTTTTGCCACGGGTGTTGGGTCCCCTGGAACTGGAATTATAGATAGTTGTGAGCTGCCATGTGGGTGCTGGGAATTGAACCCAGGTCCTCTGAAGAGTAGCCAGTGCTTTTAACTGCTGAGCCATCTCCCAGCCCCATAATTTGTATTTTTAAACCCACTTGTTTGTTAAAGTGCATAGAATCATTTTTTTTTTGAAGAAAGGGTTTTATTTCTTATAATTTGTAGTCCATGGTGATCCGATAACATTGGGTTATTCCTATTTTTTTGTATTTGTTGAGGTTTGTTTTGTGACTGAGTATGTGGTCAATTTTTGAAAAGGTTCCATGAGGTGCCAAGAAAAAGGTATATTCTTTTCTGTTTGGATGGAATATTCTGTAGATGAGTCGTAACATCTGTTAGTTCTCTTATTTCCTTGTTTATTTTTTGTCTGATTGACCTGTCCAGTGGTGAGAGGGGAGTGTTGAAGTCTCCCACTACTAGTG